CAAAGAAAAAAAAAGGAGACAGATAGAGAAAAAAAAGGAGACAGATAAATAAAAAAAGAAGGAGACAAATAAAGAAACAAAAAGGAGACAGATAAAGAAACAAAAATAAAATAAAAGAGAAACAAAGAAAAGACAAAAAAGTAAACAGAAAATAAACAAAAAAATAAAACAAAAAGGAGACACACAACAGGCCCTAAAAACCCTAAACCCTAAACCCTAAACCCTAAACCCTAAACCCTAAACCCTAAACCCTAAACCCTAAACCCTAGAAAGGGTTTTACTTGCAATCCATGCAGGCGTAAAGAGCGGGCTCATCTGGGTGGTGGGGGCACTGGAGGGCGCTGAAAGCACACAAACCCTAAACCCTAAACCCTAAACCCTAAACCCTAAACCCTAGACCCTAAACCCTAAACCCTTAACCCTAAACCCTAGATTCTGTATTTTTATTAGGGTTTAGGGTTTATTGGTATTCGGGTTTAGAGGTTCTTAGTATTAGGGTTTAGAGGTTCTTAGTATTAGGGTTTATGTGTATGTTTAGGGTTTAGGGTTTAGGGTTTAGGGTTTAGGGTTTAGGGTTTGTGCGTACAAAGTGTGTGTTTGTTGTGTATTAAGAGTAAATTTATTTTGTCTGTGTCTTTGTATATCTGTTTGTCTTTGTCTTTGTATTTGTTTGTCTTTGTCTTTGTCTTTGTCTTTGTCTTTGTCTATATTAAAATTAAATATATGAGCTCTTGCTGCTGTTCCTATTTGGTGTGGCTCTGCAGCAGCAGCAGCAGCAGCAGCAGCACCACCACCACCACCAGCAGCAGCAGCAGCAGCAGCAGCAGCAGCAGCAGCNGCAGCAGCAGCAGCAGCACCACCACCACCACCAGCAGCAGCAGCAGCAGCAGCAGCAGCAGCAGCAGCAGAGTGAACTGCAGCAGCACAGCTGCTGCAGTAGAACTTGCTGCAGCTGCTGCAGTATAAAGCAGCAGCAGCAAACCAGCAGCGCATGCACCGCCGTCCTTCTGTGTTGCTGCTTGGTGCTGCTGCAGCACGAAACAAAAAAAAAAACAAAAACAAAAACAAATATAAATATAAATATTAATATAAATAAATATAAATATAAATATAAATATAAAGGTAGAGATAAAT